CTCATCGAAGGATCACACCTCCACTTGACCTTTTGCTTATGATAATTCGTTGTCATCTAAAATAATAGTAAATGTTAAATCTGAAAGGCCGGCGAATTTAACTGCAAACCATTAAAAATATTGTTCTGTAACATCAATGGCTACAAAAATTTGGTAAATCCAAGTATAGAATCAAATATAATCAAAGAAAATAAAATTATCTGTTTGGTAGAGACCTGGATACTTAATGAATTTGTCGTACCGTCCTGGCTCACTGATTACGTTGCTTACTATTCTTATGCCGTAAAAACACATATAACTGGCAGAGGAAGTGGGGGATTGGCAATACTGATTCATAACAGCATAGCTCACGAAGTTACCATCTTGGAAATCAACCGCTTTTGGATTTTTTTGAATATAAAATTAAATAACATGTTTTTAACATTGGGAAATATCTATCTCCCTCCAAATAATGATATTGTTTCTAGCATGGATGAACTTCATAATGTCATGACTCGCATAATGTCTAACTATCCACATAGCTGCATTATCTTAACCGGTGATTTTAATGGACACGTGGGAAGTTTAAATGACTTAGAGAAAGAATTTTTGTTGGACTCACGACTTTACAAAAAAAGATCATCATATCACAAACATGTGAACCGGCGAGGAAAAATTCTGGTAGAAACTCTGGAGTCTTTGGGGATGATAATATGCAATGGCCGTAGTGTTTCGGTCCTATTATACGAAAATATACTTTCGTTACAACCAATGGGAGATCGGTGATCGATCTGGTATGTATAAATGAAAATTGTCTGGACAGATTTATAGACATGGAAGTCGTTAGCATATCAGGGCTTGTATTATCTCCTTGAAGACCATTAGAGCACAAAATCCTCCTATGAACAGAATAGCTTCACCAATAGAATACTTAGTTACCAACTATTCACCGTGGGATGAAGACAAAATTAATTTATTTTGTGAAAATATTTCCAACTCTGAAAAAATTTATTTCTATTCTGAAGATGTAAACCAGCTGTATGATAACTTTAAACAGGCAATATAGGAGAACTTGTTGGAGTCAGCTTTGATATTTACGAGGAAGATGACCGCGAATACCTCTTCTCAACCTAAGCACAAATGGTTTGATCAGGAATGCAGGAGAGGTAAACGAAATCTCAAGAAATTGCAAAGAATAATGCAAAAGAACAGTTTATTGACAGGATTTATCAGAGACTACCTTCAAGCCCGAGATGAATATAGAAAACTAATAAAAAGAAAAAAAATGGAGTTTAGAGCATCAGTAATTACAAATTTGAGAACTGTAAAAAACAGCGGAGAGTTTTGGAAGACGGTGAATTTGTTGAGACCATTTCACAATCAAAATAACGAAATAAGTCTGAACGATTGGTTTCAATATTACACGAATCTATACGGCCAAAAAACGATAAATGAAACATACTTTTTCTCTGTAACTCATCCACTCCTGGATATCAATATATCATTGGAAGAACTGCAACAAAGCATAGGTACCTGTAAAAAACATAAATCTCCAGGACCTGATAATATAACTTATGAAGTTGTTAAATGTCTCAACCCCTCTTGGGAGCACTACATATTAAATTTATTTAATAACGTATTGAATTCTGAACAAATTCCAGGAATGTGGGCAGAATCTAACTTGCATCTTCTGTACAAGAGAGGTGATAAAAAGGATCCGAACAACTACAGAGGCATATCCTTACTTAATACTCTAGCAAAGTTATTCACCAGCATTCTAAGGAGCAGAATCATGAAATGGGCTGAATTAGAAAAATTGATACCGGAAGAACAGGCTGGTTTTAGAACGGGCAGGGGATGCATTGATCACATATTCACATTGATGTCAGTTGTCAACATTAATTTGAGGTCAAAGGGCAGCTATGTTTACGCAGTGTTTGTCGACCTTAGGAAGGCCTTCGACTCTATCAACCAAAATTTGTTGTGGGAAAGGCTTTTTTCTCTTGGAATGGGGGGAAAACTAATTAGGCTTCTAAAAAAACTATATGATGCTTCATCAATGCGGATAAAGTTGAAACATGAGCTGTCAGAAGAGATTGATATCAGTCTGGGCCTGCTTCAGAGGGACAGTCTTAGTCCTGCATTGTTTATCCTGTTTGTGTTGGATATAGTTGAGTACTTCCGTGACCGAGGAGCTGTTGGTATTAGTATAGACCACAACCATGAAGTAGTTATGCTTCTGTTAGCGGATGATATTGTGCTCCTCAGTAATTCGTGGCATGGTGCACAAAGAAACATCAATATACTGAGCGAATACTGTAAAAGCAAATCTTTGACCCTAAATCCATCTAAGTCTAAGGTGTTGGTGTTCCATAAATCTCTAAGGATGAAGAAACTTAAAAGACTTTGTCTTGGCGAGACACAAGTTTGGAGTATACCAGAAACTACACATATCTGGGTGTACCCTTTTCTTCTTCTGGAAAATTTGAGAGAGCCGCGGAGCATTTCTTACATAGATCATCTGTTGCAGCGACCAAAGTGATGGCAATCCTAAGAAATGGAAAAAGCGACTCTTGGGAGACAAAAACCAGCCTCTTTGACTCGATGGTCTCGTCAACACTGCTCTATGCTGCAGAGATCTGGGGGACGAGATACCTGGAGGTTTTGGAGAGGACGCAAGTTCGATTTATCAAATCATTGCTCCATTGGCCAAGAAATACACCGAACTATGTGGCTCGCCTTGAAAGTGGGAGATCTCCATTAAGTGTTGAAGTGTTGAAAAAAGTGATCAACTATTGGACAAAGCTAAGCTTAATGAGTGACGAAAGACTACCTAGACAATGCTTTAATAGGCTTAGAGCTCTAGACTCATCCATTGGAAAACCTGATCCAACTTATAACTGGGTTACCCAAGTAAAGATGATTGTGGCGGAACTTGGATGTCAGGGGCTGTTTTCTTGTGTTTTCTCTCAAGGTCTGATGAGGTTCAAAGATGAAATCATGGAAAAAATAAGAAACCATCACGCATCCAAGGACATCGACAGAGTGTTAAACTCTAAATCAAACCCAAGATATAGAAAAATCTGCTCCTTTAATGTTACCAGACCAGAGGATTATCTTCAGTTCAGGGCTCTGAATTTAAACAAATTAAGAGCCGTTAGTCGTCTCAGAGTAGCAAGTAAAGATTTTATGAAAATATACTTAAAAGATGCTACTTTGACTATTAAATCCAGTGAGGTATGTGGTGCATGCAACTGCCTTGTAACTGACCCGGTAACTCATTTTCTGATCCAATGTATCAAGTTCAACGAGCCGAGAAATAAGTACTTGAAGGCATTTATCACTGAATCCAGAGAAGATGCTAGTGTGGAGGAGATACTGAAAATAGACACTACGAAAAAAATAAACCAACTGTATTATTTCATACAGGGCTGTTCATTGAACTGTTAAGTGGTAAAGTTAATCATATAACATATATTAATGCTTATTTATATTGTCATTTGTCTTATACTTCTCGAACATTTAAAAAAATAAAATAAAAAATGTTTTACTAATTGTTATGTATATATATATATATATATATATATATATATATATCGTTTACTAATCTGTTATTATATTAGTCATACTTAATGCTGTGGACATTGTTAATGTTATGTTTGAATGCAGTACTAGACTCAAGATCTAACATTGTTAATTATACCATTATATTTATTTGTACAGGAATTTCCTTAGACATAAAAAAAAAAAGGTTAAATGCTCCTAAAACTCAGGCCGCTGTAACTGGTTCTGAGCCTCTTCTCTGATAGACTTCCAACTTTCCCTCACTATACCTAAATGATCAACCTTCAAACTAAATCAGCAAACCTACACTGTGTTAAAAATTTATCCTTTTTTTTTTTTCAAATCCTCCTGGAATTACCATATTTCCCACAAGGCTGGCCAATCAATTTCCACTCTCAAATTATTCCATCACTTCCACCATCTACCTGTAGACTTTTAATTTTTTTCCCTCATCTCCCTCCTCCCCTTTGACTATGTCTGTGTGGTGTACAGTAGTCTCTCAGTGACATACTGAAGAGACTTATAAATACCGTCAGTGGAACCCCAAGATGTTCCCGTGTCTTCCATCGCTACGCTCAGTTAGGGTGGCTCTTTCCTTCCTTCCATAGACAATATTTCCTTGGCACATTTCTGTGTCAGATTACCAACACCCATCTAATTTCTGTAATTTCTTCCCTTTAAAAATCCCTCATACTCCCTCCTTATCTATCTTTAAAACCCTTCTATTCCATTTCCTATTTACAAAACAGTCAGAAAATGGGTAACCACGTGTTTTTTCGGTGCCTTGCTTAAAAAATTAGTGTTTTCTATGTATATATATATATATATATATATATATATATATATATATATATGCTTATTTTTTTGTTTCATACCATGCCATTTCTGTTCTACTAGAATTTTATGCTCATAAAGTTGCTTTATTTATTTTCTTACTATTTTTTTATAAATGTTTTAATTTTTACTTGGTGCTCATCTATTGAAGGAATTTATTTTTTGCTTTTCTTTATATTTTTAGCTAAGCAGCTATTACTTTGTTTCTTTTCTTATACATACTGTATATACTTTTAAGAATAGTTTGGTTTTCTATATTTTGTTAGTTTACTAAGGTTTTTTTATTTGCCTTATTTTTATTTTTAATGTGCCTTTTCCTTTTATGAAGAAATACCAATAAAGAACTGCTTATATAAACTGGTCTTTAACTGGTTATTTAATGTAACAGTTCTTCTGGCCAGAAATAATTATTTTTTTCTATAACATTCTGTTATTATGAATTATTCTGTAATATGAGGGGCTTGGTCTCAGAATAGTTATTTTTTTATTTCTATATATAATGTTGTTAAGTATAATTTTCTTATAATTTAATAAAAACATCCATTTATTGGTTCACTGTCTCTCACAGGTTTTTTCCTGTTTTTTTATTTCAATTACATAAGTATATATATTTATTGTTTCAGGCCGTAAATACCATTGGAAATGTGTTGGAGTCATTAAGGCTGAAGGTTTAAACATTTAAAAATTCAACACTAGTTTCTTAAAATTACTTTGATTATATTGTACTGAATATTTTTTTAGCAGTATATTATATGAAATAAAATATTTAACTGTTTTGTAAAATATAAAGTGTGAAGCTATATTGTCATCAATTGTTTACCTTTATTGCTTATGCTTAAGCTTCAATATATATTTAATTTATTTTTGTTTTTATGTGTCTAGCCTGCCATCTTCTTAAAATCTTTCTACTAAAATGAATTTCAATACATTAGAAACCTTTAAAACCATTTCTAGGTTTGGTAATATTCCATACTACTATTTAGTGAGAGGATTTCATTATGACTGTATTAAACCAGGTACTGGATATAACAAATATTCTCTGAACCTATTGAAAATGGTAGTACTAAGAGTAATTTCTTCACAATCATATCCATTTTTACATCATACACTGCATATTTGGTCTTTACTGTATAGATGATTTGCCTATACCATTGTCCAAATCAGTGGTATAGTTAAAAATTACAGTTAATGTATATTTTATTGAACTTATCACAATTTTTGTGATTTTCGAAAAATGCAAAAAACATTGGCAAATGATTTTCTTGTCTATTCTATGGAAATTTGCATTAAAGATTATTTCGAGGTGTGAAATAAAAACATGAATAAAAATAATTTTTTTAGTCAATATTTCATCTTCAGTTAGTGTAGTTCTTTTGATATCCAGCTGTGTTTATAGATTTATTGTAAATATTATACACATTAAAATGTGAAATATTGAGTAAGAATTTTAATTTTGATGAAAATTCTTATTAAAAGTTTTTTTTGAGATGCACAAAATGAATAATAACTTAGCTTATCCATGCATTATTATTATTTTCAGCCATAATTGAAAAAACAAAAAAATTACAATACCAGGCTTTGTCCATCTACTCTATATATCCCTCTGATTTAGAAAAAATAATTGGTATATACCCGTAGTATAATATTAAAACAAATTGTTCTACTGAATGAGCTAAGAAGGGTCTGATAATTAAACATCATATAACTTATATCATCATCATTATAACATTAACATGACACCATATTTCCACACAAAACTTTGAAGTCCTTTGTAAAATGCATGAAATTTCACAGATAGTTGATTATAATATAATAATGAGTGAAGAGATGGTCCAGGTTGGCAGTTGTAAAAAAAACTTAAAATAGTGAAAAAATAAAATAGTTTTTCATGATAAAAATTTATTTGGTCAACTTTATTGGGAGTGTCTTTTGGTTTTTCTAATTTATTTAATATATAATCAGCAATTATGTTTCCTTTATATCATAAAAAACAATACGTATAATATAACCTAATAATACATAAAGAGTAAAATCAGAAAACAATTGTATGAAAAAATGTTAAAGTTGAATCAAATTTTTTTTCTCGGAACGTTTGAAAAACTGTCATGGGTTCCAATATTATCAACCAAGAACCAACAAAAAAGGTTTCACTGAAATCGGAGATACCACTCAGCTGATTATAGATATCCTTTCTTTCACTACTCTACCATAACCATTTCTACAATTGCACCCTATATGATTAATATAAAACATCATACAAAAGTTTTTTAAACTGTTTTAGATAAAATTAAAATCACATCAAGGTTATATAAATATGAAGACTAAATAAAACTACTTAACATGAAAATCATATTTAAAAAAAATAAAACATGAAATTTAAGATGGATTAATAATCTTTTATTTCATATTTTTGTCAAATTGTTTTTAACAGAGATGGGCATATTTATGTTCAAAAATATGAATACGAATACGATTTATATTTATGGCATTTTTGAATGCAAATATGAATATATTTATATTCATAAAAAGAAACATGAATACAGATGATGCATATTCACAGGTGTAATTATAAATACGGCCGTATTCACTACTTTAAAAGTGAATACGGCTGTATTTACAGTTGCAGTAGTGAATACGGCCGTATTCACATTTATTAAAATGAATACGCTTAAATTTACAGAAGTGAATGGAAATATTTTCACACAACCTTATGAATGAATACTCTTATTTAATAAATAAATATTAATTTTACTTTGGGTATTTTCCAAAATTAAATAAAAAAACATGCAAAAATTAAAATAAAATTCTGGACAGTAAGGAGTTAATTAAATAAATCTCTTAAATTTTTTTGGAATAATGTTAAAAAGGTTGGTATTTACTAACACAAAGTGATGTATAAATAAACTTTTTAATTTTATTAAATATAAAATTATAGTTATGTATGTGATAATATCTTAGAAGGGTCCTAATTTTTTGTTTGCTTGAAACATTGGGAGTACATTTTTAACATAAAACGCAAACCGAATTAAATTTATGTATTTCTTGTGAAATCACTTTTATATCATTACTTAATGGTTTAAAGAAAGTCCCGTTCAACGCGACTCATACAGAGAACCTTAATTTTCTTAAAGAGCCGGTACTGTCTTGAAAACACTCATTTAAATCTAAATCCTGATCCAGAATACAAGAGCCTGCTAAAGAAACAGACTCAGTTTCACTATCAATTTCATACATTGTTCTAAATGCAAAACGTAACACAGTAACACCGTCACTTTTACTTTATTACTTTACGGATCTGCAGGTCTAGAAAGGTTCCCTAGCTTCATGCAAAGGATGCCGTGTACCCGTATTCCCACCTGGAATTTCCAGGGTATCGTTCTGACAGTTGTGCCTACGCTGACATTCTATTAAAGTTATATTTTTTGCCATCAGCAACCCATAAGTAAACAGTGTACCGAAAGGACCAAAGACGCGGATTTCCCATTCTATTAGGGGGAAGGATGGATGGATGGATACCCCCAAAAAAGTTTTCGGAAATTTATATTACGTACAACAATTAACATACCAAAATACATTGTAACATAATTGAAATAACATAGTAAAATGAAGAATATAATTCTATATATAAAAATAAAATGATATATATGGTAAATATATATTTTTTTTTGTATGGATGATGTATTTGAAAATTGTTAACAAACCAACTGAATTCTTAGTTTTATTTGTATTTAAAGGTTTGAGTCAGTGAAATGGTATCATCATTCCATATTTACTACCGAAACTGTAATAAAATTTTCAGGTAAAAATTAAGGAATGTTCATGAATTAATCATAAAATCTTAGGACATTTTGCTAAATATAATTATCATTGAATATTAACTAAAATTTCTATAATAGGAACATACAGCGCGGTAAAATATATATGTATATCTAGGCATTAGCTCAGTCATCTAGTCGACTTTTCCAATTTCCTTAATTGACTTCAGTTTACATAATTAGGACCCTCCTAAGATGTTATTCACTTCTGTAAATTTAAGCGTATTCATTTTAATAAACGTGAATTCACTACTGCAACTGTAAATACAGCCATATTCACTTTTAAAGTAGTGAATATGACCGTATTTATATTTAAACCTGTGAATATGCATCATCTGTATTCATGTTTCTTTTTATGAATATAAATATATTCATATTTATATTAAAAAATGCCATCAATATAAATCGTATTCGTTTTCATATTTTTTAATATAAATATGCCCATCTCTGGTTTTTAATCTAAATTAAAGCAAAAATTGATGGTTAATTTAATTATTGATGTATAAAAAGAAAAAACTAATTAATGGCAATATTCAAATCAGGTACATTTTTTAAGACTTATCCTATCTCCTCTTCGTAGCCTTTCGGATGTATGAGTTTAATTTTTTATTAACATCATAGAATATTTACTATAGTTTGCTCTCAATAATGTGGAGATGAAGTAATAAGAACAGCCATGAGAGACATCCGATTGACCTGACCAGCAGTTAAGCTATACAGTGTTAGTTTCAATTCTCTGCCACATGAATTTAAACTACTGTAGGCTTGCAGGTGAGCTATGGTTACTTAATAAATTTAATATTTGTAAAAAGTAAGTTAGTTTTTTAAAGAGTTCATGCAGGATTTTTTTTAAATATTAGATATCATTCCCTATGTTTAAAATGCTCCTCTTGGTCTAAAACCTTAATACATATCCTTCCCTTCTCATGAGTAATGAAAAAAAGTTATCAATTCATTCTAATCCCATTTGAAACTATTTTTTAGTCATCCCAATTGTGTAACAGGTTTATTTATACTGAAAAAAAAACTTTTGGAGGCACAAGCTAAAGACTCATATTTATATATATTTACATCTAATGATAATATATGCACAACTAAAAAAAAAAAGTAGTGAATATGTTTTATTATAGAATGTATGGCAAGGTTTTTGAAAAAAATAAAATTTCTAAAAAAAGTTAAAGCTAGATTGTCTTCTTATAAAATAGGGAGATACATTTTATTACTCCTTCACTCACCATTAAAGCTATCCTTTAAAATTCTGACGCCCTATTCTTAAAATGGCGTTAAGTGTATTTAAATAGATTTAAAAAAATTGAAAACTGATACCTATTATATTCCTACACTTAAATTAGAGAATGCAATAATAATGATGATAAATTGATACATTTAATTCCGTATTAAATGTCAGAAAAAATAAAACCCATCAGTTAGACATTTCAGAAACTTGAATAAATTAACACAATTATCATTTCCAAGAAAATAGGCTTCAAATAACGTTTTAAAAAATTAGTTATTTCATTCATTACATATAGGTAGTTCAGAAAAAAGTAAAAATCCATTCATCAAAACTTAAAAGACCCTACAACTAGATACATTTAATTATGTAAATTTAACTTCCTATGCATATAAAAACCAATAGTGCATATGCACTAAAAAGGGTTATCAAAGAGGCAATTAAAACTTACTTATTTGATTTAATAAACCAATTACCAAATAAATACTTTGAGCTTATGCACAAAAAATGTGCTTATAGAATAATTGTTCTTATATTTTTACATCCCGCCAAAAACCAGAAAATTCAACAATAAATAAAATCAATGTTATAAAAATATGGCTTTATTTTACTTCAACTGCGGTGGAATTCTTAAACATTAAATATTTTGAATAATATATTAAAATAATTAATAATAAAATCACATGGTGTAGTTAAAAATATAGCTTGGCAGTGAAAATTTGAATATTAACTTTATCTAAAAAAGGAAATTAATCTGAATTTCCATTTTTACAGCACTATCAAATAAAATTATTGTTAATTCTCCCAATAGATCTGACCTTGAAGCAGTGGATGGCACTAAATAAATGCAATGAACCAGTGGCTTGTTCAAAAGATATATACTGTTATTTTTAATGATTTACCTAAAAATTATAAATTTGGATAGGGATATTTTATCATCAAAAACTATTAATTCCCATAAAGTATTATTAACAATCCAAGTACAATCAAATTCAGACATTTTTTATGGCTTTACCATAATATGAAAAAATTCCCATGAAGACCATAAAATCAGCTTTCTTAAAACATCATTAAACATACTAGATATAAAGTATTTTAAAATATAAAACATTCCTTTAAAAATTGAATCAATGTTAAATCATTTTATAATATAGGCTTCAAGTTAGGAATGTAATTAATATTAAAATTATTAAATAACTTTAAGCCAAGCTACATTTTTCTGATTTCAATACTTAATAATATAAAAACAAATTACAGAATCCAATTTTAGGAACATATAAATATAAATAACTTACATCTTATTTATATCAATTATCATTGGATTAACAGTAAAAACTGAATACTGCTGCCTTAAACTAAATAAATATCAAACCCGTATGATTTAAATTTTAAGACAGAAATATCTATTATAAAAACAGCCGTTTGACATTCAATGACTTAGAAAATATTAAATAAAGGATCTCTTTAAATTATAAGTATTTGTATTACAGAGTAAGGCATTTAAATTTAAGTCACATCTGATGGTTTTAATTAACTACACAGCCTAAGTAATTTCACAAAAATACAAACTTCGGAGGAAAAAACTCGCCTAACTATATTTACAAGAGAGGCCTCAAAAATAATTGATTATTACCATTGTAAAGTTTCAAAAATTTTTTGATTCTAACTTATTCTGACATTATTTTTCTAATCAGCAACAATAAGTAATATACTATGAGAGTAATTGACTTCATTTTGAACAAAAATGTAAGTAATAAAAACATATTATAATAATAGTACTTATGTTACTTATAACATAAGCAATAAAATAAATATGATTCATACATATATAACAATAAGTTTTAAAAAGCTTTATTTGAACTGAACAAGAAATAAGAATGAACACAATTCAAAAGTGATCTAAGGTAACATATATCATGGTTAACAATTTAAAAGACTTATTAGTTAACAAATGAAATTTACATAGCACCATTTTTAACTAGGGAAAAAAAAGAAAAAGAATAAAGGACCACTAATAGAAATCACAGATATTTAAAAAAAATTAAATTTTGATGAAAAAAAAATGTATGATGAATGGAAACTACTATTCAACATTAATTATGGACTCTCTTCCTTTTCCGACACCAATCCATTTAACTGAAAAAAAAAAAACAATATATGAAAAAATAATATATATATAAATATTTATTTATTATCTAAGTTATATAAATTATTCTAAAATTAATAGATACAATTAAATTTAATCATGTGAGAGGTAAAAGGTAAAAGAGGGGAGCGGGGTAACTCAGTGAGCCACTGTGTTACTATTTTCAGAGGCCTGAGTTCGAGTCAGTGGCATATAATTGTTCTGTCACACCAGTCGTAAACTCTTCGATAGGGTGACCATCCTGAGGAACTCATAGCTTCAATAAAGTGGATAAATTAAAATAGAGGAAAAATCTGGTAGATATTGGCAAATCAACAACTAGCACAACAGTTGTCTAGAACAGTACTTTTTACGAAGTAAAACAATCTTCAGAGGTTGTAGAGTTGTAGGTACAGCTTTTTTAACAGATGAAAAACCATTTTTTTTTTTTTAATTTGTTTCTGCTCAAGCTGTTCTCTTTGTACCTACTCTCCAGAAACTTAAGAGTAAAAATTCATTATTATAATTTTAAATCTTCTTGACATATGTGAAAATGAGTTACTCAGAGAATGAATCACTGAAAAGTTAATTAACATTGAACTAATAGGTAAAAATTCAAGGGTAGGCCAAGATATAAATGGGAATATAGTTAATTTTGGATTTCAATGACGAGATATATGCTTGTAAATTTAAAAAAAAATTAAATCTACATCATCTAGGTTCATTTTGCCTTAATTATTACTAAACATTAGTATATAAGCATTCAATTATGTAACAGCGGTTCTTAAACTTCCTTTGCAGCAGCACCCTTGCCAGGCAAAAAGTTTTTTGCAGCACCCTTGTCAGACTGAAAATTTTTTGCAGTACTCTTATAGGGCTAAAATATTTGTGGAACCCTAGTCAGGCTAAAAGTTTTCAACACCCTTTTAGGGTTAAAAATCATTACACAACTTTCACTTACCACTCTCTTAGCAGAAATAATTATTTTCAGACAAAGGGAAGTGAAAGTAAAAATTATAGACGGTATAAAAATTATTTGAAACAATTAATTATCATATGTTTTTCATAGCTGTGTTATGTATGATATTTGTTTTGTTTGACACTAGCTATTTCCTTTTACAACTCTATATTTCAATTATTTATTTGACTATAATAAATAATTAATTGACACAAAATATTTTTAGTCCAGAAAGATTGGCACTGATAAAGAAGGCTGCTATATTAATTTATATTTCATTGTAGGTCTTTTTATTTGTTTAAATTTTTATTTTTATATCACTGTAACCTGTACAATTAAACATTAAATATTGCAAAAGCATTTATGAAAACCACATAAGTTTATGTATATAATATTGTCGGAGTCCATACTATATTAAGCTCATGTTACATATGGAAGCCTGTTCTAATCTTTCGATTAGATGGGCGACCTCATTATTTCTTTGGTCTCTATTACAACTATTCTTCGTTAGGATCTCTTATTTCTCCTTAAGATAATTATCAAGTTCTTTCATATTTTATGTTTAAATATTTTTTATATCAGAGCTAATTGTGAAATGGTTTATTATTTCAAATTAAAAAAATTAAAGGTAGTTAGAGGTTAATTAAAGGTGAAGAAATATTGTAAATTAACCATTTAAGCCGTGTTAGAGAACATCAATGAGAATAAAACCTATATTATAATAAAAGCTGCTTAATTTTATACTGATATAATAAATTTAATCATAATCGTAAGGTGGTTTTTGAGAAAATTGTAAAAGTGCCACTTCCAGTTAGCCAATTTTGATGAAAAAGTTGCTGTAACATCACAGGCATATACAAACCTTAAATATAAAATTTCACTTTCACACGACTTTTCTATGAAAAGGTAGACGACTGTTCAAATACATATACACACAGACCATTTTGCGGGATTTGGTTATTTGGACTCATAACATGCATTTCTATTGAAAATTCAGATTCGAAAATTTTCACGATCGCGAAACTTTCCCTTACTATACATTTCATCTATAAGTAAGTGAAAGTAAAAAATAAATCACCGCACATTTATCCTTAAAGCAGTATTATAATAGAATCTTTATCAATTTATTGTGGCACACAAACAACCCAATAAAATTTTTCCAGATATCTTAAATTAATGTTATATTAATTTAAATTCTGTTATTAACAAATATAAATTTATTAATTTTTAGAATGCCTATTCACAGATTTAAAATTTTGTTCTCAAATATTAAATATTATAGCCATGGCACCCCTGACATATGCTTATGCACCCCAGGATGCTACATTACGCAGTTTGAGAATCCCTGGTATATAATATTCATTAAAAAATGGAGCTAACCTGGAACACTAAGAAGTTCTTGAATTTTTAAAACATAGTCTTTGGCTTCTTGGGGCAAATCATTGAATTTTCTAATATTTTCAATGCTAGTTTTCCAACCTGGCATCCTGACATAATTTGGCTGAAAAAAAAAATATATATATGTATCAAAAACCACTAATTTACAAAACAATTATTAATCATAACAAAATCACACAAATTTATATACATTAACCTTAACTACATGTAATAGGTAAAATCCTACTGATCATAACTGCAATTAAATTAAAAAAATAACGGGCCATAAAAACAAAAAAGTTACAATCTAATACAAACATAACCAATACCTGAACAGAAGCAAGTTCATCTGAACTAGATGGAAAATATGAGAGCACTGATCCATTTTTCAGATAGGAAACACACATATTTATTTCATCCAGAGTGTCTAATATATCTAATTTTGTAATACAGATTCTAAAATAAATAAATATGAAAACATTATTAATTACTATTTACTATAAATCTATAAATAATAAACTATAAATCTCAACCAGAACAATTATAAAATTAATTTCTAATAAAACAGTATTAATTCACATCACCGATTAAATAAATGTAAGAGTTAATAAAATGCGGTTAAAGATACGTTATTCTAAGTACCATTATAATTTTGGTATGAAAATACTGTAGTTTTTTAAGATTAAATATCTTAAGTTATATTAAAATAAAATATTTCAGAATATAACTAATACTAATAAGAAATAAATTGACATTAAAAAAAAACAAAATAACTGAACTCCGATGTAAACATTAAAAAAAAAATAGAAATAGGTGATAACAAAAGCACAAAAATTCTAATTGCTATAGAAATTTACTTCATTAGTTGTTAAAAGTAAGTTAATATTCGTAATAAAAGGAAAGTTTCAAAACTTGTAATTATCATACATAATTTCAAATAGTATTACTTACGCGGTATATCCATTGACCATAGATGTATACAGCAACACAGGAATGTCTAACCAGCCACAACGACGTTTTCTTTTAGTGGTAACTCCATACTCATGGCCTCTTTCACAAAGGATATTGCCAATTTCCTGAAAATATGTTTCTGCATGGTTAAAACATAAATTAAACTTCAATAACTCATTGTGTATAGAATAAAAAAAGACTGCAAAAATATGCTGAGGAAATTAGGAGATGATTACTAATGAGGTTTTAGAGCTGGTAGAGGTAGGCATCTGATAGCATCAACAGATCAGTACTGCTAAACATTTTAATAAAAAATTGAGTTCCACATAAATTAATTAATTTAAAACGCATGACCATGAAAAATGCATAATCTACAGTGGTTATTAGAAATAAAGTTGGTCAATTATTTAAGGTGCAATCTGGAATGCGTCAAGGAGATGCCTTATTGGCAATGCTATTCAAAATATCTCTGCATGCTGCTGTGTAAAATGCAGCATTGATAAGACATGGTAAATTTGTGCCTACGCTGATGACCTAGTTATTGCAGCCAGAAGTGAAAAGGCATTTGAAATAATATGAAAATGGCAACAAAGTATGGCTTGTGGTCAATGAAAGAAAATCTACATACCTAAAACTGTCCTCGGCAGCAAATGGGAGATTTACAGAAACATCAAAACAAGGAATTTTAGGTTTGAAAATATACCCACATTTGTGAATCTCACTTCTGCCCTTAATAATGAAAATTTAATCAACAATAGAATGACTGGTAGTAGAGCCTACTATGCAAACCTTACAACATCTTAATCTCCATTGTATTCAAAATCTACAAAATTAAAGCTATATAAAACTTTTATTAAACTAGAAGTCACCTATGGAGTGGAAACCTGGTGTATGTCACAAGAGGATTGCTGCGAACTAAAAGTATTTGAAAAAAGGTAATAGAAGAATTTATGATGCCTTTAAAGTTAGTGGTTAATGGAAAATTAAGAGCAACAATGAAATCGAGGCTATAATAGACAAGTAGACAGAGATGGGCAGGACATTTTGCTATGAGAAAATTGCTAAATTATGTATGGCTCTCTCTCTCTCATAGGACAAAAATAATGGTGTATGAGAAAGTCATATGACCCGTCATCGCCTATGGTTCTGAGACTTAGGTAATCCCTAAGGTCTCAGAAAGGAAGCTACTCGCATGAGAGAGAAGGGTTCTCCACAGGATCTATGGTCCTGTGTGTGAACATGGGCAGTGGAGAATTCGCACCAACAAAGAGCTACCAAGATGGTTCGGCCATGTGGCGCATATACCTAAACGCCTGCTGGAGGATCCACCTAGTGGAAGATGTGGCAAAGGAAGACCACACCTGAGATGAGTGGACGAGGTGGAGGACATAATAAATCCTGCAAAGGATGTGGAAATGCTTGCCTGAGATAGATCAGAGTGGAGAATAATAATAAGAGAGGTCTAGATTTCTGTAGTGCCGTAGAACCAAAAAATAAATAATAAGTAAATAAATACATCAGTGTTTATCATTATTAACTATTATCTGTTATATCATATTATATCTACAATGTTATAAATTTTTCAACTCCCATTGGATGATGACCCACAAGCTTAAGCTTAGCTTGAAACGTTAGCTATAAAAATCTTAACTGACATTGTCCTAACTATCTATAACCCACAAAATGGAAGTTTATAAGAAAAACAAAAGAAATTACAAAACAATGAAAAAAAAGTAGTCTTAAGTTAAATGAACTTACATCATTTAATTCAGTAGGGAAGGGGCCATCTCCTACACGAGTGGTATATGCCTTTACAACACCAACAACATCACCGATGGTTGAGGGAGGTAAACCTAAACCAGTGCATACACCACCAATGCTACAATTTGAGGAAGTCACATATGGATAGGTACCTAAAAAAAAAATATATAAGAATAAATTCTTTTTAATCAAAAATCGACGTGAATAGAAACAGTACTGCATGATTCATAATAATGTTCTTTAATGGGTTTATAGACAGAATTTAAGTTTCTGAGAAATAAAACACTTTCTTAGACAATGGTAGTGAGAAATAATTAAAATATCATTCATGTTTAATGGTAAAGTGAGTCTACATAAAATATAAATTTAAATCAAAAGGTGATACTGGTGAAAAAGTAAGTGAGGAAGGGGATCCAGCAATCAGCCATACATTAATCCTCACAATCTTTTATTCATTTTTTCTAGACTGAAAGCTTTTATTTCACTTAGTTTACTCCTGAATTTGATGTGAATTAAATCATTTCAATAAAATAGTAATAAATACTCACCAAAGTCAATGTCTAACATTGCTGCATTAGCACCTTCGACTAATACTTTTTTCCCTTCCCTCAATGCTGAATGCAGATAAGAAACAGTTTCAACAACTAATGGACGGATTTGTTCAGCATAATTTTTATAACGTTGAAGCTCAAACTCAATATCAATTGTCAAATCTGGGAATAGTTTTTGGTATGTATTTGCTAAGCTCGTGAACCTTGATGAAAACAATAACAAAATATAAAATTAATTCTGTAAAAAAATTTATTGTTACAAAAATTAAAGATTTCCAGTTATTTATGACTAAAAGAATAAATTATATGAAATTGTAGGGTGTTAATCATGTTTTAATTAGAAATTTAATAAAATTAGGTTATGACTAGATGATTAGTAGTATGTATCTCTCGCCTTCAAAAAGTTCCAAATAGCAAAATTAGGAAACAAGTGGAACAAATGGAGAATATCCTTCACTCCATTGAAACAATGAAGCTGAAATAATGGTATGGGCATGTGATGAGGATGGAAGAAAGGTCATCTGAGGAGAAACTGGTATGAGGGTGTAAAGGAAGGAATGATGAACAAGGGTATGCATGAAGAAGATTGGCAGAACAGAAGAAGATGGCAAAAACATACATTTGGTTTTAATGTTGTAAAAGTTGATAAATAAAAAAAACAACAGATGATCAGTTTTTTTTTTTTTTTCCACAGGAATATAACATAAAATGAAACAGCAAATAAAGAAACGAAAATTTCAGACAGACAGAGAAAACTATATAAAGAATTAAACAGTAGCTGGAAGATGCTCAAACCAAGAATAAACGCTTGTAAAGACGAGAGAAATCTCATCAAAAACAGGATGAATGTTCTGGAACAGTGGTAACATTAGTTGGATGTTTTCCTTAATGATTTGGCAGAGGAAATAGAGATTGTCTTAGGGGAATTGAAGCCCCTTATTTGGACGTCCATGAAGCAGTGGAAGAGCTGAAAAATATTTAAGTACGAGGACCAGATGGACTCCTTACAGAACTGTTTAAGTATAGAGAAGTGTTAATGCAATTTCTCTATAGTATAATAATGAATATCTGGAAGAGAGAGGAAACCCCTTTTGAATGGTACAAAGCAGTTAATTGCCTGATTTACAAGGAGGGGATGAGCTCGATTGAGGTAATTATTGGGTTATATTCCTGTTAACATTTGGTTATAAGGTGTTCTATCTGCCATTTTAATAAAAATTACTTTCTTTTCCTGAATAAAATATAGGAAAGTAGTAGGCAGGCTTTATGAGAGGAAAGTCAGCCACAGACCAGACATAGATATTCTCTATCAGAGGCATTTTGGAGAGGTGTAGGAAGTATAATATCCACACACACCACCTGTTCATCGACTTTTGAATGACCAACAATAAATGAGTTTTACCAGGATTTCTAGAAATAGGAATACTACCGAAGCTGACACGTCTGATTGGGGCTTCAATGATGAAGATCTAATGCACAGTGTGTGTTCAACGTGAAATGACTAATTACTTAAAAACCTACAAAGAGGATGATTGCCTCCCATACCATACCCATACCTCCTCTTCACTTCAATTTGGCCTCGATAGTGTGTTACAAAAACCTGGAATACAAGTTGGGAACGTATTACATTTAATAGATCTACTGACTCAGACATCCACCAATGACTTAGATATTGTTGGAAGAATCCATACAGATTCAGAAAACACTTTTATCAGTCTCCAGTCAGCAGCGGCTGGAGTGGGTCCGAAGAAAGATTAATGAATCAAAAACCAAATAAATGCATGCAAGTCCACAACTGGATGTGCATGAACCAACACTTGTGAAAGAGTTTGTCTGTCTTGGTTCACAAGTTAATGCAGATAATGACATATGAGCAAAGATATATCGCAGAATTATGCCTGCAAATAAAAGCTATTTCAGGAGCAGGGTTATTTCTCGAAACACAAAGATGGAATTATACAAGACCCTGGTAAGATCAGGCCTTCTAAGATTATGCCTTAGAATGCTGAAAATTATCTACTTCACAGGAGGCCCTTCTTCTAAGATTCAAGAGGAGAATGTTCGGGAGAATATATGGCCCACTTTGCACCCCTTATTAATGGAACCTGGAGGATAAGGATGAAAGCTGAGCTAACAAGATTTTACAAGAACTCAGACATCGCAAGGGTGATAAAGTAGGTTGCCTTCAATAGGTAGGACATATAATTAGAATGATCTAGGATCAGATTCCTGGGATGGTCCTAGATAAAAGGATTTATGGAACAAGTAGAGTGGGAAGACCTCGGATCTGATGGATCGATGGAGAGATTAATATAATGGAGAAATTCAATATAATCAATTTGAAAGAGCATTAAGTTTCTTATGTACGTCATGCAGACACGTTAATATGTAAGATTAAACGGCTGTTAAAGCTCAGAGAATCGAAGTCGTATTTCCCTTGCAGTACCTGTCGTTCGCAAACTAAGTGCTTTATATCTTTTCAATGCTTTATTTCCGGCTAATTTAACTATTTTATAACAGAACTAGGATGTATAAACATATTACATAGTGTTTATATATTCTGTTGATATGCATAACAATCATCACAAAATTAAGGACCAAAATGAGTTTTGAAGTCCGAGCGGTCCAACGACATTTTGCTTATTCACATATTGACTCTACCTGAGCATGAATAATGAGAAGCTGCCAACGTTCTCCTTTAGTTGATCAACAAATAGATGTAAACTTACAGATAGTAAATAGTATTGTTATATTTTTTTAAAATTTATTTAAAAATATATAATTTTTTTAAAAAGCACTGTTTTAAATCCATTTCGCTTACATTTTATTCATTACACTTGTTTAATTCCAATATAATGGCCAAGGCCGTTATTGACAGTGACAAGTGGATAGCTATAGGTTATATAACGATATAAATATGAAGATGGTCGGTCGTCTATAACAATATAAGTTATATTAATCCACTGTGTATTAATTCCAATTTAAAAAGCATATTTTCGAATTAAAAAAATTCCTTGACTGACAATTTTTCCCTGACTTCTCCTGGTTTTGAAAATTCCCTGACTTTTCTAGGTTTTTCAGGTTGGTCGCCACCCTGAATTACTAATATACCAAACAAAAAGGAATATACTCTCGAAAATGTCAACATTGAATTTCAGAAACTTTCTCATGTAATCTCTATAAAAATTTTGTTTAGTAATAATTATTGAATATTTGGCATCACTATCATATAAAAATACATAAACCAATAGGCAGACGGGGCAGTTTTAATACATTTCAATTTTTTTTCTTATGGGAACATGTAAATGGAATAATGAAAAATCTGGAAAAAAATTATTCTAACTCTTCTTAATTCTTTTTAGAAGTGTAATGCTGTCAATGCATCAACCCAACCAACTGGTATTATAAGCTAAAAATCTAATGAATTAATATTACATATCAAAAACCAGTTCTTAGACTTACTTTTCTTTGAACGAATCAAAATTTCCCAGCAAATCAGCTATCCTTAATCCATTTCTGTTTGCTTTGGATGAATAAGCTGGACCAATTCCTTTCTTTGTTGTGCCAAGAGACTTTCTTCCTTTTTCTAGTTCTTGAAGTCCATCAACTTTCTATAAAATATATATTTTATAATTCAACAACAATTTTCTTAATATTCACAAACATTCAAATACAGAATCATTTCTAGCAATCCAAAAACAATTTAATGAGGAGTTGGTCGGGTGTGCGGTCAAATTAAATACTATATAAGTAATAAAAGGGAGTCGTCCCAGAATAAATAAAGCATTATTATTATTATTATTATATATTGTTATAGTATTTTATAGATTATGCTGAAGTTTTGACCCACTTTGTAGGTTTCATCAGGGCTTCAAAAGATACAAAATATAAATTGCTACAAAGTAAAAAAAATAAAATAAATGAATTAGTAGATATTAAAAATCACATTTTTGTGATAAAGAAATTCAAGAACTTATAAGATGACATCAGTGATGTAGTGAGTCATAGTATAGTTAAAATATGAAGTATTATATACATAGAAGATACAACCAAAAAATAAATAAAAATAAAGGTGAATTCAGCGTGTAAGTTAAAATGTAAAAAAAGTGTGATAAAATAAGAATAAAATATCAGTGGATAACAAACTAGTGAAGGTTACACTTGATAACTGTAGGTTAACAGATAAGGAAACTGAAGGTTAACAAAAAAAATAAAGCAACTGAAGAACTAATAAGGAGTAAACTAGTAAATAGGAGTAATAATAAATTGTTATCTTTTTAGTTCTTCAATCTCTTTATTTGTTAACCTTCAGTTTCTTTATCTGTTAACCTGCAGTTATCAAAAGTAACCTTTACTAGTTTGTTGTTCACTGATATCTTACCTTTACTAGTTTACTACTTATTAGTTTTCATTTAAAAAAAAATTTTTTTAACCTTCAATTACTTTGTCTGTAAACCTGCAGTTGTCTGTAACCTTAACTAGTTTAATATACACTGATATTATATTCTTATTTTATCACACTTTGTTTACATTTTAATGTCTTTTAATAAATCATTCATTTTATTTTTTACTTTGAACAAATTTATATTTTGTAGCCCAAATGAAGACTAACAAAGTGAGTCGAAATGTCGGCGTAACCAATGAAATATTATTATAATATATAGTATTACGTTTGACCGCATCCACGACTAACTCCTCATATTATAATAACAGTCAACCATCTCCATACCATTAAAAACAATTTTGCATAAATAAACAATTATCTATTAAAAGTGAAAAGAATGGCAGCAGCAGCTTTGATTAAGGAATACAATTCTATAGAAACAAAGACTTTGACATGTTAGGAAACAAAAAAAAAGTTGCTGATGAAAGTCTGATTAATTTCTTATAGATTATACTGATTCAGATACCAGAGAACAAAATTTATAAAAAAATATTCAAGGCTTTTGCATAAGAAGAACAGTTTTATAAAACAAGTAGGGTGATTGTAGTTTAATCTTTAAAAGGCTCGTTGGGATTCATATCACAAATCCTAACAAAGCTAAAAACATAAAATAAATTAACAAGAGCAATGATTTAGAAAAAATATACAAATAAATCGAAAGATGAAATAAAACAAAGATAGAAATTACAAGAAATTAAATGGTAAATGATTATGAGTCTTGAGAAATCCAGCAATTGCTCATAATATTTACTATAGTTAAATTACAGAAAAATGTTACTTAATACCACAACGCACGCATGCACAGCAGGGAGATATCAGATAGGGAGATAGCAGGGAGATATGGTATCCTTACAGACATATATTGCTTACAGGAGAACAGCTAGCCGAGAGGGGGTCACCCAACCTCATATTGCTACAAACCATGGTCTCCTTCATTCAATGGCAGGCCACCCATTGCTCCATACTCAATTTTCTTAAAAGCCAATCTGGCAGTGTCTTCCCACCAATTCTCTTGGTTTCAAGGACTGACAATTCAGTCTAGATCTATGAATTAAGGACTGACAATTCAGTCTAGATCTATGAATTAAGTCTGCTTATAGTCAGCAGGCATAAGAGGACCTATATTTCTTTCCCTGAAACAGACGTCCACGGATTGAACCTCAGAGGGCTACTGACATCCAGGTAAACCATTCCTGGATTTTAGTAGCTCTGGATCCTTATGGATCCTTCCTCTGGCCTGCGAACCTCTTGAAATGCCACAATATCCAAATTGTATCCATTAACCTCATTTGTGTCCAATTTTAAACCACCTGCTGTATTTAAACTTCTTACGTTCCACATCCCTATATTTAAACCTCTAGTTTTCAACTTGCGCCACAAATCCCCTAAAGCTTCCCAAAACAGTAATAAGTCTGATCGAGGATTTTACAATAAAGCAATTCTTTATTACATGAATTAATTAATTCTTGTGTTATCACTTCCTATGAAAGAGAAAGCCACCTAAGAAAAGACTAAATTGGACCTAACTCCTTTTCCATTCAAAATAGGTCCATACATCAAATGAAATTTTTTGTTGGAAATTTGGTCTGGAATCATCTCCCAGAGTTTTTCTATTAAGAACTAAAACACCCTGTATATGGGAGCCAGTCGACCTAATCCTGACACGTCGCCTTCATTTGAGCCAGTTTTCCTCTGCTTGGTCATTTTCTTTCTACATACACCTACACATGATTCTCAGGCGACCTTGGAACCTCCTGCCTGATGAACAGGCTTGCATGATCTTTCTGGGTCGCCTTTCTTCATCTATATGGTAATTAGGTCTGAACCAGTTAAGCAGTCTCTTTTCCAAGGTCTTTAATTCCATTATTTGTTGCTGATCCCTTATACCCTTATTACATATGTGGTCTATATTTTTCCCAACCACTCTGTGCAGGTATTTTATTTCTTCTCCTGTGATTTGGCTGGTGGGCTTTGCCAAGCGTGATTTAACTTTCACTTCCATATGTAAGCATTGGGAGGTATACTGTTTTTTAATTGGGAAGCTTAGTTGCTTTCTCTATATTCTGGTGGCCAATTATTCAATTATTATAAATTATAACTTACATACACTGAAAGCACTTTTAGATATTACTTTTTTATATTTTTCAAACTATGACTGTTCGATATATAGAAATTTTCTTTGCTATTATGAAAAAAGTTGTTGAATTAAAATAAAAGGCTGTAAACAATAGTTCATATAGTGATTTTTGTTATATGAAAGTTCGATATATAGAAGTTCAACTGGTATTTTTTTATATCTATAATATAAGTACAAATGTACATTTTTAGTAGACACCTCCCCGACAAAATATCATTTCCTGTAGGAGGTGTCCATAATAGAGAAATTATAAAAATAACTGTAACTAATATGAAGATTATTCATGGTTTATAAAGTAGCCAACTCGAGGTAACTGACAACAAAAGTAACCAATGCAACATATTTAATTATTTTGTTGTGATAAAAACGCATTTGTCAAGTTTCTAAAGTAAACATGAGTTATTCAGGTCAAACACCTCTTATCTGATGTTCAAGTTCATCACTATTGTTGGATGTATTCTACCAAATTCACTCATAAGTTTAATTGACTAAGTTCTTAATTTTTCCATCATGTTTCGGGAAATTATTACTTAAAGAATTTGAATTATTTTAAATTATAATTTAATGAATATTGCAATTATCTTATCTTAATTTTTAATTTGTGAGTTATCTATTTAAACCAAAAACTAAAACAATAATAAAAATAATTCAGAACATTGAAAAAAATTATTACCTGATGAAAATCAAAAACTAGATGGGCTCTATCAGATATTAGTAATCGATCACGCCAACCAACCAAACCTTTGCTTTCATTCTTTTCTAATTCATCAAATAAATCAGGTAAATGTACAACTACACCATTGCCTAAAAAAAATAAATATATATATATATATATATATACATATGTATAACTACAAAAATTTAAGATCAAATTAAAACAACTTTCTTGAAATAAATGCATAATTTTCATCAACCTGATACTATTTTTCAACTTGCACTTAAGATATTAAATTTTAACAACAGTAATCAGTAATTAATGGACCAGGTAAAGTTGTTTTCAATCAATAACTCTTTTGTGCAAAAATAGAGACTTAGGAGTGTTTTTGATTTCCTTGTTTCAATTACTAGTACTAACGATTAGTAATTTTGTCCCTTTTCAAGAAATGACAAGATATGAACATACATAATTGTTTTGTATTTAACTCTTAATATCTTACTATGTATGTATCACTAATATAAGTTAAGAACATGAAATTAGTTTTTCAAACATAGAAAAATTCTGTATCAGGAACCTCTATTGCCGAAAACTGGACCCCATTGATTAATTTTTGGCATCTACTGGCCCTAGTTTCTACCTATCCAGAATATTCAAATTTCAGCTGGCTAAAAACTAGTTCACAATTCTATTTCATTATTTATTTATTTACCTTTGTCCCCTATATTTGGAGAGAACTTATTAGTGAGTGTATGCATAACCTTACCTACTTCCCTAGTCATGAAAAAACATACTTCAGGTTCCAACTAGAAAAATCAATTAAGAAAAAGAAAACAGCAATAACCAAAAAGGAAAAAAAAAAAACCTAACAAATATAAATAGCCCTGGAGCCAAGGCCCAAAAATCAACATAATCGCAGAAGAAGGTTTGATTGTAAATTACTAAAGTGTATGTTATTCTGATTAGAAAGAACCTTGTCTGCTATTTCACAGCCGCTGCTTTCAACAATGGTGGCTGATTTAAAAAAAATAACTAACGCAACCATGAAGGGAAAACTTTTTATAGCCAAAAAGGTCAGATTTTTTCGACATTTTAGTTTTTTTTTTTCACCTATAACTCATAAAGGATGCATCAAAAAATGTACTCTTTCAGAAATTGCAGAACGTTAATAAATTGTGCGTCAAACAAGTACTTAATAATTTGGTAACGTGGTAAGATATAAAACCATGGTCAACCAACGCTGAATTTTACCAAATTTATCAAAAACTGTGATAAATTACTATAAATGGCCTTTTAACTTGGAAATGAGTTCTCTAAGAGTAAAAACCCATATCAAAGTTGTAGAGCATCAAACTTTAGGCCAATTATATTACTCAAATTGGGATTCATAATTTCTTTATAAAATTCAGTATCTTTCGACACATCGTTTAACAAAATCCTTCGCTGCTGAGAGGTGGATAAGACGTTTATATTGCTTGTAACAGAATCTAAACAAAAATAACTCAATAGAATAGACAACCATGCTGTTGAAATATTGAAAATTACATATACCTTCATTATCATTTTCTAACCATCGGGAGTTACTGATTTTGTATGGAGGAAGTGACCTACATTAAAATAGTTGGTACTTAGTGGATACGAAATTTGATACTCTACAACTTTGATTCTATGGATTTTTCCTCTTAAGGAACTCAGGAGGAACTCCAGGCTATAGGGCAATTTACAGTAATTTGATTCGGTTTTTTTACAAATTTGTTAAAAATCAGTGTTGATTGACCGTGGTTTTATACCATAGCACTTATCCAAATTATTAGGTTTAGTTGCTCTTTCGACACACAATTTATAGCTTTAATTTATCAAAGAGTACATTTTTCGCTTTGGTGCATTGTTTAGGAGTTATAGGTGAAAACAAAAAAATACATCAACAAATCTTACTTTTTTGGCTGTAAAAAGTTTTCACTCAGTGGTCCACATTAGCAATTTTGATTTTTAAAAGTCTAAACCCACATATACAAGTTAATAATAATAATAAAAGGCTTAACGAACCACCTTCAGCCTAACCTTAATCTCCTCTTCAATTTCATTTTTTCTAGTTATCGTAGATCCTAGATACCTAAAACTTCTCTACATGTTGAAATATATTACCTTCTATATTGATATCACCATTTTTGTAGCTAACCATATATTTTGTCTTGTCCATGTTTATTTCGAGCCCTAGTTCTTTACTGGCTTTCATTAACATTGCCGTATTTACTTTTATAGTTTCTGTGTCTTTGCTTAACAGGACCAGACCATCCGCATAGCCAAGATGTTGTCCCACCCGATCCAATCCTTTTTCGGCCCAATGGCATGTTCTAATGCCAAATTGAACAGGACAGGTGAAAGGAAATCGCCCTGTTTTAAACCCGAATGAACCTCAAACTTATCAAATTATTACCGATTCTAACTTTATTGATCGTGATTCGACTAGTCAAGATTAAAGCGAATATTTAATAACATACTGGAAGCAGTGGAATTCCTCGATAGTTATTACTCGGACCATTTTTGTGTATTGGAATAAGAATAGATTCTTTTCATTCTTCAGATAGTTTCTTTCTCATTCTCCCAGATCTTTTAAACCAACAAATGTATTTTAGAAACTCTAGCTTCCTCGCATGCCTTAACTAGTTCACTAGGAATATTATCGGTTCCCAGAGCTTTATAAGATTTTAATATTTTCCGATAGCTACTTCAACTTCCTCTTTACTTAGTTCTTCTATTAACGGTTCAGCACTCTGGTCCTCAGGAGGACACAGATCATTATTTTTCGTATTTAAAATATTGTCAAAATGGTTCTTAAACTTATTTAATATGTATACCATTTAGATAGACAGATTATTTAGAATATTTTTAATTTCATCCCTAATTCCAGACATGACCGGCCCTAAACATTTACATGATCTGTTTATACCTTTGTACATGTCTCTTACGTTATTTTCGATTCTATTAGTTTCTATTTCTATTATTTTATTTTTAAGATAATCCCTTTTTTATTTTTGAGCAATTTTGTTGTTTCATTCTTTGAGGTTCACAATTATTCCAGATTGTCTTCACTAGAATTATTTAGAGCTTTTAATTTAGCAGTTTTTCATTTTTCACACATCTGCAAGCAATCTTCATCAAACCAGGTTAGTTATTCTTATTTTCCAAGGCTGGAGTTACCGATAGTTTTAATATTATCCCTGATCTCTACCTATAACTTGTTATATCCTTGCGGTCTTCGTCAGAAATTTCTAAAGCTCCAAACCTGTTCTCAACATCTAGCTCGAATTGAGTTCTAGTTGATGGATTTTATAATTTTTCCAAATTAAAATTCTCGTAATCGAAATGGTTTTCTTTTCTCTTTTTTATATTAAGTTTTTGTCGAAGTTTGGCGATTATTAATTCATGATCCGATCCACATTCTGTTCAGTGATAAGATGAAACATTAATTATACTGCTTTGCCAGCTATGTTGAATCAAGACATGATCGAGTTGATTACGTGTTTGCGAATCCGGCAATGTACAGGTATATTAATAAATATCCTTATGTTTAAATGTAGTACATTTAATTATCAGGTTTTTTGAGTTGATAAAATATATCAGAGGGATCCCATTATCATTACTATATTCGTGCAAACTTTCTTTACCAATCGTCGGAAAGTAAACTGCTTCCCTCCCCACCTTTGCATTTGCGTCACCTACAATTATTTTCATGGAGTTTCTCAGTAGTTTATCATAAATCTGTTAAAGTTTATCGTAAAGTTCGCATTTGACTTCATACATGGCTTACACAACGTATGAGCGACCTTGCTTGGAATACGCTGGAGAACTCTTGATAACAGCACCTGAAAGTGCAAGGCAAAAAACTGAAAAAGTCCAAAACTCAGCACTCCGGATACCAACAGGTGCGCCAAAGTCTACACCCATCTTAGCTATGCATGCAGCTTAAGCGAACGTCGAGCCTATAGCGATGCGTAGAGAAGTAACTTCTATAAGTCTCTACGAACGACTACATAAACTTCCTATAGAGTACTAGTCAGTCCAAGAATAAGCTAGCATCAAAAAGACGTGTAATGCAAGTTACTTTTTTTTTAGAAAAAGCTCAACAGCTTAAAGATAAAATAAACTTGCTCCCTCCTCAAAGAAAACCACTTTCTCTAATACTACTTCAGTTTCCGGTGAAAACTTATTACCTCAACCTTATTAAACACATTAAAAAAGAAGAAGTTATACCAGAAGAACTAAGATCCTTGGCTCTTGAAAAGATTGCTGAACGTTATCCAAGCCCTCTGTGGATTCATGTGTACACTGATGGGTCTGCCAAACTAGCAACATCCAATGGAGGGGCAGGTATATACTCTCAGGTATATACATGTTTGCTATTCGAAACCAGTTGGGAAATGGGCCTCAAATTTCTAAAGTGAAATAAGAGAAATTCTATTGGCGCTGCAAGCCTTGTCACACTTGGATGCCAAAAATCTCATATTGTTTGTGGATTCAAAGGCAGTTATTCTCGCTTTGTCACAGCCAAATGACTCTTTTGCTCAGGATATTCTGAAGTGCCAAAAGATCGTAGAGGAACTGCTTCTTCAAGGAACAAAGGTATTCTTTCAGTGGATACCAAGTCACTGTGGTCTCCATGGAAAAGAAATGGCTAATAAACTTGCCAAGGAGGGATCCACATTGAACCAGTCAGAAAATGAAATATCATATCAGAGAGCAAAAAAAGAAATAATAAGGCCAGTGAGGCTCTGTTACTGGATTCTGTAAAGAGCTGTATTGCAGAAAAGCAGTGGAGAAATTTGTTTAATGAAGTGGATCGAGTTCCCATGAACCTACTGAGAAAGGAAGCTGTGGCATAGTTTCAGATGATAACAGGCCACGACTCCCTTAGGAAGCACCTACATAGAATAAAAGTGGCAGACTCTCCACATTGCAACCTACTAATTCGGGAGCACAGATGGATGCAGCGCATTTATGTGTATGCTCGCGCTTGTTGAAAATAAGAGATACCACGACGTCCAAATAGGAATGGTACTGGGCTGGAAGTCTCTGATGGTGGAAGCCAATAGAGGCATAGTTGAAAAAAAAAAAAAAAAAGAACTTCATTGTCACTGTTGAACAATGT